CACCTTCACAAAGCATCCTTTACTGCGACTCTCTGTGTGTGATGGGCTGCTGCTGCTGCTGTTGGTGGGTGGTATGTGTGGTGCTGCTCTCTCCGGTGTATGTGTGTGTGTGTGTGTTTTGTTTCTTGGTTCCTCAGGTCAGTATGCCTTGGGCAGTTATGATGGCGACGCTGGGGCGGCCCGCGTTGTTTGTGGCATCCGTTGTGCTGTTCTGCGCGGTTGGCTGTGCCGCGGTGAGTGGTTTGGGTGATGATGCGCGGCGGCATGAAGTAGTGCATCTAATGAGCGAGGCAAAGGAGAAGGCGCTCAAGGCGCGGAGAGCGATGAGTCAGGCTAGGCCTGAGATGGACGCTATAAAGAAAGCAACGGAGCAATTCAAGGTTGATGTGTAAAAGGCGTCTCGAGCAGCGCTGAAGCTCAATGGAAAAGCAAAGCTGAAGAGCAATCTTAAGTCGGAGCACATTGAAGGAGTGGCGCTTATGGAGAAAGAGGCAGGGGCAACGTCTGAAAGCGGCTTTCACGCCTTTCGATGCCGTACTAAAGGAGGTGACGGGGGCACTGAGTACTACGGCCGACGTAGTTAAGTTGGCGAAGGCGTTGTAGGCGGTGTCTGTTGTGCCGCGGGCAAAGCCGACACAAACGCAGCCGACCTCCCGCGGCAAGCATCGCTGAAGGCAGAAGAGGTTAATGAAATTCTTGTCAGTGGCGCACACCGGCGCAGAGGAAGCACAAGGCAAGGCCGGGCGGGAGAAACAGCACTCTCGGTATGCTGTGAGAGACGCTAAAAAAGTGTGGCTACACCGCACCATTCTACAGCGACTGTTAAGACGAAGAGATGATGAGGACAACTTGATGGAATCTTCAACTGGCGCAGAGGAGTTGGCGGGGAAAGCACTGCAAAACGCAGTGAATGCCGCGAGCGTTGCATTTACGCGTGTCGAGCAAGCTACCACAAGCACTGAGTTATGGGTGCAGCGGATAGATATGGCACTGAAGGCATGTGATATGCAAGGTGGTGAGCCAAAGGCATCAACTGCCACAAGTTACAAGGCTACACTCTCCACCACGGTGAAGCGAACAGCACATCCATTGCTAACAATTCGTCAAAGCAGCAGCGAGATGACTAAACGTCTGGGTCAACTCCTGTCCCAAGTGCCCCGGAAAACCCTGGGGCAGTTGGTGATGTCTCCAGCCCTCCTCAAAAGTAACCAGCAAAAATGTCTGCGGAGACAGTGAGGAACAGCACCGTAGGTGCCACAAACACGACGGGCACCACCACTGCCAGTCCACAGAAGCACAATGCCGCAGACAAGAGTAAAGACGCTGACGCTGCTGATACGACTGCCCCTGACAGAAATGCCGACACCACCGTGCGTGATGCTTGGAGTGCGGACAGCAGCGTCAGTCCTTCGTGGGTGCGCACACCGTTGCTGCTGGTGGTGGGTGTGCTGGGCCTCCTGGCTGTGTGCTGAGGTATGTGTGCACACGGCAAGACACATGCACCCTGTGTCCTGTGTGTGCTGCCCTGGAGATTGAATGCAACTATGTTTTGGTTTCCTTTGTTTTTCGTTTCATTTCCTTTTGCTT